GGAGCAGACAGACAGACTCCCATACGGTTAAGGAGCTGACCAAGGGAACTACATTACAATACAAGCTATGGAGGGAACCAGTGGTGACCTGAGACGCACTCTTCTGTTTATGACCACGACATGATTACATTTTTAATATGGCTGATGTTAAAGGCGTAAGAAAAAGAAGAAGAAGAGAGTGAAACTAATGCATTTATGGGATGGATAAAATAAGTTAAAGTAACAGCTAGGACAGAAGGAGGTATTGTAACAAAATAATAATAATGAGAATTTAAGAAAATAATGCAAAATTTAGAGGAATCAGAGAATGTACCAGCAATGAGAGTGTACAACATGAAAGTAGAAACACTAGGAGGCAGGAGACGACCAAAAGGAAAATAGATTGATGAAGTCACTGATGCCATGAGACTCCACAACATCACAGAATAACGGGCAGCCGAGCGTGACCCAGCTCAGATACCAATCCTCTGTTAACCTGCAATGCGTAGCAGCAAAAACGCAGAATATTGTCAAAATAAATAAGAAAAAAATGTATTGTCAATTACCTGGTTATAAATGTTTGTTGCCTATCCTTTACAGGACATTGCAGAACCAGCCCTAGCATTTGTTGGCTGTTGTGGTTTTTCTAGGCAAATTTTATGTCCATTAGTTTGCCATTGCCTACTGAATGGTCAGCTCTCGGTACCACTGTTGAAACAAATGCAAGACAAAATGTCCACAGCTGGGATCGAACCCGGCACCACAGCATTATGAAGCACGTTCGCAACACTTAAGCCACAGACGCGGACAGTTCAGTTACCTGGTACTGAAGGATTTAAAATTTATTTCGTATTGTATGGGTTAATTATAATAGCTGTGTAGAGTGTCAGATATAATGAAACCTTTAACAATCATATCATTAACTCATTGATTTACTTCTTCCTTGCATAGAACTAGAGGAGACAATAGCTGCGGAGCCAGCGTCTGATGGAAAGTCTGGGGGAACATTGCCGGCGAGGTATGTTTTAGCATGACCATTTGGAAGGAATAGATGTGCATGAATGCTCAGTAGCCATTTTGTATGGGTAAGCTCTTTGAGGGACAGAGATTCATTTGGTGTTATCAGAAAGTTTTGAATGGATTAACTATTAAAGAAATTATCAAGTACTAAATAGAGATTTTGCTTAGATATGCTTTTGAAAGATAAAGAAAAGATATAAAACCAAATGAAAAGTATGTTAGCAAGCTTCACAGTATAACGAATACAAACAAAACATGAACGTTGCGGCTATGGAGCCTTCATCAGCATATACACAAATCAAACGATGCCACACAAATACACAAAGGACAATATGGACGAGTGGGACAGGTACAAACAATTAGTAGCAGTTGCAAAATAAAGATCTATCAGTATAAAGTAAAGTAAAGTAAAGGACCTTTTTCCATAACTTCAGGCATATAGGGCTAGACCTGTATTTTATAGACCAGTCAGCTCTTGGTGGGTGTTGTGGTTAGCATCACGCTGGTTGCCTTCACTTCACATGACTGTACATGGTACCCACGCAAGATTTGACCTGGGAGCCGTCATTTTTTAAAGAACCCACGACCTTGCAATCCGCAGGCGAGCGTCTAGCCACTACACCATGGTGGCTCCCTTATCAGTATTTAAGTCATTTTAAGTGAATATCACTTTTGACACACACAAAAATTATACTGATTTATGTAAACTTAACATAAATCTGAATTGGATGAACTTTTAGAATGAAAATATCAAGATATACTTAGTAGGATTTTGAATGTCTTAGCAAAAATATTTAATGGAAGGAGGAGTAAGTATTCACAACATAAATAACAAGACTTTATAACTAGGCTTAAGAATAGCAGATTGAACAAGGTCCAGATGTTTTCGTGTGTGTGTGTCTGGTTTGGTGTTGAATATAAAATCTGACTTAAGGTTAGTTGCGTATCCTACAGGCTGTTGCAGAACTAACCCCAAACAGCCCCTGGCAAATTTATGTCCAGTAGTTTGCCATTGCTTTCTGGATGGTCGGCTTTCTTGATACCACTGTCGAAACTAACGCAAGGCGCATGGCCCGCACCTTTGATTGAACCCGGCACCCCGGCATTACGAAGCTTTCGCACTGACTTAGCCACAGAGCCAACAAAATCTGACTTACAAACTTAAAATGTTAATTTGGTCTTCCTGCCAGTTCCTAACCTTTTTCACAATTTTTTTTCTGCTTCTTCTTCTTCTTCTTTCATTGCTTGAAATAGATTATCTATTGTCTGCAGTGTTGTCTGTAGTATGAACTTGCACTGTCTGTTGTTATTCCGTCAGTGACCCATAAAGTTTGGCTTGCACCTGTGTTTCTCTTGTGTTTTCCTTGATATGTTCTATTTGGGACAGTCCTTGAGGATGTGATCTGCTGTCTCAGGTGTTAATCCACATGTACACATAGCTGATTCACCAGTGTTTTGTTTTTGTTTTTGGGTTGTTGTTTAGATTCATGATTTCCTTCATTAATTAAATCAGTGTTATTTATTTGGAAACCAGCTTCAAGTATGCCAGCGATGATGAAGCCTCAAGCATTACATCAGGCTCGGGTCCCCAAGCCACTCACAGCTCCCCCCACCACAGCGCACAGACCAACCAACAGGTGATGTCAGTCAACCCTGCACTCTTAGATCCAATCACAGATGAGCTCAGCGAGATCAAGGAGTCTTCCCGGAAAGTCAATGATGTCTTGTCAAGACTGGCAGAGGAGTTTGATGATTACAAGGTCAGTTTTATAGATAAGAGTCTCTCTTGGGGGTCGTGGTAGACCCCATGCTCTAAAGGTCACGGGTTCGTTTCATGGATGTATCATTCGGTTCATGAGTGCAGTTTTACTGATATCCCTGGCGATCATTGCAGGAGCTACAGAGTTCATGCTTTGCGCAGTGCTCTCAGCAGGCAGGTAGCCATTCTGCGGTTGGAGACTGAGCCATGTGGCATAATACCCAGTGCAATTCAAACTGATCATGACTTTAACTTTAAGATGAGCATTTAGGTAAAACTTTTGTCTTCTCAGCTATTTCTGAATACAGGATGAATTTTTGTATAAAGATTCTGTCTTCAGTGTCTTTCTGATATGGGGGAGAATTTGACATAAAACATTCATTCTTAGCTCTTTCTGGACCAGCTTCCAGATATGAGGGTTCGACGTCTTACTGTTTTTAGTTATGGCAAGTTTTTGCTTCTAGCAATAGTTAGTGATTGCATTTTCCTCTATTTTTACACTGAAAGGATATAGTTCTGTCACGCAGCTACTGAGTTGAGTGTATGGTGCACCACTGTGAGCTGTCGATTTTATTCGGAAGGCTTTTCAATTGTGCCTAAGGTGGTTTGTGTTGTGAACTGCAGATTCAGAAAATGGCAAGTAGCCAGAGAATTAGTGATGCCTTGTCCGATTTATTGAGTGTGCAGCTACTGATCTGTTGTAATTGCTTTTTTTATCGGCGGTGAATTGTATTTGTGGTTTCAGACTGTTTGAGTTGGTACTTCTGTGGTCTGCCTTATGCATTTATTATGTATGGGTGCAGCTGAGTTTGCTAAGACCACAGTCTGTGTCAGTTTTGGCACAAGGCACAGCTGTGTGGCCTTTTTGTTTTGTTTTTTGCATGAGAACGGAGCAACTGTGGGCTGACCAGTTTACAATGAAGTCGGAACAGCGTTTACCTGATTACAGGGGGAATAGTTTGCAAGTCTTATTATACATTTCAAATCACTGGGTGATTCATATGTGTAACTTTCAGTCTTCTTAGCTCTTTCTGATTACACAGTTAATTTTATGTAACAGTTTCTCCCCTTGCATTTTCAGGGCCCCACATTTTTTTTTGGGGGGGGGGGGGGGAAATGGGGCAATGAAAGAGGAAAAATAGATCTCCCCCCAACAAGCATGTTGTGAAAGATGACTGATTAATGGTGATTAGTAGTGATTAGTGGTGATTAGTAGTGATTAGTGGTGATTAGTAGTGATTAGTAGTGATTAGTGGTGATTAGTAGTGATTAGTGGTGATTAGTTGTGATTCAAAGTCAGATTGCTTTCTGCCTAAGAGGCAAGGTACCGTCTCTATACAAATAAGTTAGATCTATAAAACAGATTTGTAAACAGAACTTATGTTCCAGAACAAGACCAAAATCCAGAAGTGGACAAACAACCAGAACTGTGATCAGGAGTTTACAGCCTGTGAATGCTAAGAAGAAGAAGATATAAATTAGCATTCTTCTGATATTTTTTCAAAATAACAAGATAAATTTTATATAAAACATTCTGTCTTTCAATCAAGCTTTTCTAATTATGGTGGAGAGGTATGATCCTCCATGCCGGTTAGACAGGCACCTGATGATGATGATGATCATGTCCCTTAGGGCGGTTATTTTAACTCCTCAGACCCAAATATTGATTACTCAGAGTACAACTTCTTAGAATAGAATGAGTTAAGGAAACAGCTGCTTGGTACTGGAAGTCCAGTCTAGTCTGAAAAAGCTGAATTTAAAAGCAACAAATACATACTGCTTAGACCTTATGTAGTTCAACATATACACTATGAGATAGAAGTAAGTAAAAAAGTAAAGGACCTTTTTCCACACATTTATAGACCAATCGGCACAAGATTGGATGATGTGGTCAGCATCACGCCGGCCGCCTTTACTTTCCTGGGACTGCACCCGGTACCCACTCAAGGCTGGGTCGACCTGGGAGCCAAGGTCATTTTGGGAAAAAGTGGGCTTCGCTAGGCAGGGAACCCACGACCTTCCTATCCGTCCATCTAGCCTCTCGGCCACGGCGACTCCCTGAGATAGAAGTAGTTAACACTTATAATTCAAATTCATTTTCCTGTGAAAGAAGACAGCAAGAACATTAATTTGTTTGACTGTGGCCAAATGAAGTTGAGTAAGTCCTTTTTGCTGAAAGATCCAACTCTATGTAATTAAAATGTGAATTCTAAATTAAACTTAAATATGATTTCAGACACAGATGCAGACAGAAGTCTCGCTGCTGCGATCATTGTTAGAAGATGAGCGGTTCAAGGTTGAACGCCTGGAGGAGCAGCTGAACGACCTCACAGAGCTTCATCAGCATGAGATGCTGAACTTTAAGCAGGACTTGACATCCATGGAGGAGAAGATTGAGTACAGACTGGATGAGAGGACCACAGATCTGAGTGATTTGGTGGACAATGCGTCAACAAGAGTGAGTAGGATCTGTGGGTGTTAGTAGGTAGTTTTTCAATAAGAGTGAGTAGGATTTGTGGGTGTTAGTAGGTAGTGATTCAGTAAGAGTGAGTAGGATTTGTGGGTGTTAGTAGGTAGTGATTCAATAAGAGTTAGTAGAATTTGTGGGTGTTAGTAGGTAGTGATTCAGTAAGAGTTAGTAGAATTTGTGGGTGTTAGTAGGTAGTGATTCAATAAGAGTTAGTAGAATTTGTGGGTGTTAGTAGGTAGTTATTCAGTAAGAGTTAGAAGAATTTATGGGTGTTAGTAGGTAGTGATTCAATAAGAGTGAGTAGGATTTGTGGGTGTTAGTAGGTAGTGATTCAATAAGAGTGAGTAGGATTTGTGGGTGTTAGTAGGTAGTGATTCAGTAAGAGTGAGTACGATTTGTGGGTGTTAGTAGGCAGTGATTCAATAAGAGTGAGTAGATTTTGTGGCTGTTAGTAGGCAGTGATTCAACAAGATTGGATCCTCACCCACATGGTGGCACATTGTGTCATCTGGTGTTTATCGCTTGTGTGATGTCCTGGTGGGGTAGAAAGTCAGTCAGTCATTGTCCTGTAAGTTACTTAACTCCGTCCTAATATTGGACGCTAGTTTTGTTGTTTTAAAGCCCCACTCCGGCGGTCATCGGGGCCCCTAATATAACCCAGCCGATGGATTGAACAGGGTTTCTGGGACCTGTCCCCGGGTTGTCCTCAGCCGAATAATGGCACTTTATGTCACAGCCTGTTTATTGTTCATTGGGTTGAATGTCAGTCGGTCATGTCCTGTGAAAGATATGCAGCTAACTTGTCAATGTCTTTGCTGTCATTGCAGATCTCCAGACTAGAACAACAACAACAGCAACAGCAAATATTGTCCATGGAGATGGTGGAGAATGCAACATTCCGCACAATCATCTCAAAGCTGATCAATGTGGTGCTAGCAATCCTTGCTGTTATGAGTGATATACTATACTGTTATGAGTGATATACTATACTGTTATGAGTGATATACTGTACTGTTATGAGTGATATACTGTACTGTTATGAGTGATATACTATACTGTTATGAGTGATATACTGTACTGTTATGAGTGATATACTGAATGTAGCAGAGTCCGCACCCCGACCCCCTTTTATTAGTATTGTGATCTTTGCACAGTGTGACCCTTGTGACTTTCACCCTTATTGTTAGAACTTTTCCCACGTACCTGAACCGTGCGACCCAACATGTGACTCTCCCCGTCCAATGTCCAAACTCATTAATTAAACTAGTTGTCCCGGCCAGATCAGGTGATGCCAGTAGCTGCAAAACAAGTAGGAGCCCCCTAGTAACCCCTTTATAAACGATTGCCCGGAACCTTCGAGAAGGCAGACGGAGACACTCACAGACATAGACACACAGAGAGAGCCTCGTAGGAGCCGGATAGGCCAGAGGAGCGCTTTGCTCAGATAGATAGACAGACAGACCAGAGGAGCGGTTTTGCTCAAATAGATAGATAGATAGATAGATAGATAGACAGATAGATAGACTTAGATCCAGGGATTGGAGCTCACAGAAACAGATAGACGCACGCACAGTCAGTGACAGAAGAAAGACGAACAACAGAGGATAGTTGAGCAGTGACAGAAGAAAGAGGACAGCAGAAGACAGTAAAGAACAGATGAGGGACAGCCTAGAGACGGAGTGAGGAGAACAAGCGACTAACACCGGCTGATTAAGCAGGGAAGAGAGTATAGATAAGTAGATTGACAGTATTACTTAATGAACCTTTTAGCCCAACCTGCACTAGTAGCCCGGTGGCAGTTTAAGACTCTAGTTTAATTAAAGAACACAACGCGAATCTATAAATATACATATAGAGTTAGGAGATGAACAAGGTGATTTTTCTCAATTGTGTGACATTGTTGCTATGAAATATTAAACAAGAAAATTTGGAGAACGAGTATTGTTATTGTTTGAGCACATAGTGCACGTGTGTGGCACGAAGCAAGTAACAAAACATCATCTTCAACATAACGTAACCACTATCGTCACGACCATCTTTCTCCTCGTCTGTCAACAATCACCCGCCACCCTCGACACAAAAGATTTGGAGAGCCTGGGTTAGAACTTCACAGAACTGTAGTGTCACATGTACTGTTATGAGTGATATACTATACTGTTATGAGTGATATACTATACTGTTATGAGTGATATACTGTACTGTTATGAGTGATATAATATACTGTTATGAGTGATATACTATACTGTTATGAGTGATATACTATACTGTTATGAGTGATATACTATACTGTTATGAGTGATATACTATACTGTTATGAGTGATATACTGTACTGTTATGAGTGATATACTGTACTGTTATGAGTGATATACTATACTGTTATGAGTAATATACTGTACTGTTATGAGTGATATACTGTACTGTTATGAGTGATATACTATACTGTTATGAGTGATATACTATACTGTTATGAGTGATATACTGTACTGTTATGAGTGATATACTGTACTGTTATGAGTGATATACTGTACTGTTATGAGTGATATACTGTACTGTTATGAGTGATATACTGTACTGTTATGAGTGATATACTATACTGTTATGAGTGATATACTGTACTGTTATGAGTGATATACTATACTGTTATGAGTGATATACTGTACTGTTATGAGTGATATACTATACTGTTATGAGTGATATACTATACTGTTATGAGTGATATACTATACTGTTATGAGTGATATACTGTACTGTTATGAGTGATATACTGTACTGTTATGAGTGATATACTGTACTGTTATGAGTGATATACTGTACTGTTATGAGTGATATACTGTACTGTTATGAGTGATATACTATACTGTTATGAGTGATATACTGTACTGTTATGAGTGATATACTGTACTGTTATGAGTGATATACTATACTGTTATGAGTGATATACTGTACTGTTATGAGTGATATACTATACTGTTATGAGTGATATACTGTACTGTTATGAGTGATATACTGTACTGTTATGAGTGATATACTATACTGTTATGAGTGATATACTATACTGTTATGAGTGATATACTGTACTGTTATGAGTGATATACTGTACTGTTATGAGTGATATACTGTACTGTTATGAGTGATATACTGTACTGTTATGAGTGATATACTGTACTGTTATGAGTGATATACTGTACTGTTATGAGTGATATACTATACTGTTATGAGTGATATACTATACTGTTATGAGTGATATACTATACTGTTATGAGTGATATACTATACTGTTATGAGTGATATACTGTACTGTTATGAGTGATATACTATACTGTTATGAGTGATATACTATACTGTTATGAGTGATATACTGTACTGTTATGAGTGATATACTATACTGTTATGAGTGATATACTATACTGTTATGAGTGATATACTGTACTGTTATGAGTGATATACTGTACTGTTATGAGTGATATACTGTACTGTTATGAGTGATATACTGTACTGTTATGAGTGATATACTGTACTGTTATGAGTGATATACTGTACTGTTATGAGTGATATACTGTACTGTTATGAGTGATATACTGTACTGTTATGAGTGATATACTGTACTGTTATGAGTGATATACTGTACTGTTATGAGTGATATACTGTACTGTTATGAGTGATATACTGTACTGTTATGAGTGATATACTGTACTGTTATGAGTGATATACTGTACTGTTATGAGTGATATACTGTACTGTTATGAGTGATATACTGTACTGTTATGAGTGATATGCTGTACTGTTATGAGTGATATACTGTACTGTTATGAGTGATATGCTGTACTGTTATGAGTGATATACTGTACTGTTATGAGTGATATACTGTACTGTTATGAGTGATATACTGTACTGTTATGAGTGATATACTGTACTGTTATGAGTGATATACTGTACTGTTATGAGTGATATACTGTACTGTTATGAGTGATATACTGTACTGTTATGAGTGATATACTGTACTGTTATGAGTGATATACTGTACTGTTATGAGTGATATACTGTACTGTTATGAGTGATATACTGTACTGTTATGAGTGATATACTGTACTGATGTGAGTGATATACTGTACTGTTGTGAGTGATATACTGTACTGATGTGAGTGATATACTGTACTGTTATGAGTGATATACTGTACTGTTATGAGTGATATACTGTACTGATGTGAGTGATATACTGTACTGATGCGAGTGATATACTGTACTGATGTGAGTGATATGCTGTACTGTTATGAGTGATATGCTGTACTGTTGTGAATAATATACTAAACTGTTATGAGTGCTATATTTATGAGAGCTGTATTATACTTTTATAAGTGGTATACTATACTTCTATGAGTGCTGTCTATACTTGTATGAGTTTTCTTCTTCTCTACACTGTCCAGCTGTGAATTCTAGCAGAAAGTTCTGGTTGTTTGTCCACTTCTGAACTTTATTCTTGTTCCAGAATTTGACATTTTTTTTGTGCACATCTATTTTACAGATCTAATTTATTTATATGCAGACTTTTGCTTCCTCTCTTCTCAGGCAGATGCACTGCGATTTCAAAGGAAACTGTTCTAATTGGTCCACTTTTAAATCAGTCTTTCAGACTGCAGTAGTAAGTGAAGGGCCCTTTTCCTTGTCCTCAGCCATACTGGGCATATAAAGCTCTACCCATATTTCGTAGACCAGTCTGCGTTGGCGGAGGAGGGGTGATATGGTCAGCATCATGCCGGCTGCCTTTACTTCCCAGGACTTATACCTGGTACAAAGCTGGGTCAACCTGGGAGCCAAGGTCAATTTTTTTTTTATATTTCTGCCTCTCTCAGGGCCCAAACGCACAACCTCCCAGTCCACAGGCGAGCGTCTAGCCACTACATCACGGCAGCTCCCTAGACTGCAGTAGTAGATTGGGGGAAAAAACATAAATAGTTTACAGCAGTATGATTGAATGTTAATATGAGTAATATGTAATTGACATTAACTTGACTAGATGATGTTAACATAAATACGTAATTAAAGGAAGTGTGATTGATGTTTACATTTTTAACCCCTAATGTTAACATATTTTAACCCTCAATGCTAACATATTTTCACCCCCAGTGCTAACATTTTAACCCCCAGGACTAACATATTTTAACCCACAGTGCTAACATATTTTAACCCCTAATGCTAACATATTTAACCCCTAATGCTAACATATTTTCATTCCCATTGCTAACATTTTAACCCCCAGGACTAACATATTTTAACTCACAGTGCTAACATATTTTAACCCCTAATGTTAACATATTTAACCCCTAATGCTAACATATTTTCACCCCCAGTGCTAACATTTTAACCCCCAGGACTAACATATTTTAACCCCCAGTGCTAACATATTTTAACCCCTAATGCTAACATATTTAACCCCTAATGCTAACATATTTTCACCCCCAGTGCTAACATTTTAACCCCCAGGACTAACATATTTTAACCCCCAGTGCTAACATATTTTAACCCCTAATGCTAACATATTTTCACCCCCAGTGCTAACATTTTAACCCCCAGGACTAACATATTTTAACACCCAGTGCTAACATATTTTAACCCCTAATGCTAACATATTTAACCCCTAATGCTAACATATTTTCACCCCCAGTGCTAACATTTTAACCCCCAGGACTAACATATTTTAACACCCAGTGCTAACATATTTTAACCCCTAATGCTAACATATTTAACCCCTAATGCTAACATATTTTCACCCCCAGTGCTAACATTTTAACCCCCAGGACTAACATATTTTAACACCCAGTGCTAACATATTTTAACCCCTAATGCTAACATATTTAACCCCTAATGCTAACATATTTTCACCCCCAGTGCTAACATTTTAACCCCCAGGACTAACATATTTTAACACCCAGTGCTAACATATTTTAACCCCTAATGCTGACATATTTAACCCCGAATGCT